GGAGAGGGGAGGAGAAAACTGGGCTTTCAAAGGGCATTGTTATGTTTCCTTTTTAGCTAGTTTGAAGGTTAAATACCATCTGTGGAGATGCTGCCCCCACACACAGAGTGCTACATTAGAGATGTGTGGAGTGGGGGGTTTCTTGCAGGGTGGGGGGGCAGGAATGACTTTTTAGAACTGTTTGGAAGAGAGAAGGCCACCCACCCCTCCCGCTCCGAACCTCTGCATTCAGGCGTGGAATTTGGCCGTTTTGTTACTAAAAAACTCTGTCGCCTTCCAGATTTCATAGTACCAAACCACAGATCCCCTAACCTGATAGCTGTTGCTCCCCAAACAGTTTGTGAATTATATCTTTGGCATGTCTCTTGGAGAGAAAAAAAATTTGGCATCTCCCCGTTCTTTAAAAGGATCTCGTGGGGAGAGGTTTCGCTAGTGATTTAAACTGTTCCCTTTTTTTTTCTTATTTAGTGAATAAACAGAATGGAGGGGGGAGGCATTCATTTTTGTCCCCCTTTCTTCTGATTAGCAATAGTTCTGGGGATTTGGTTTGAACCAAGAACCTAGATTGTAAAAAAGGCGGCGGCCCTTGGAACTCCCCGCTACTTAAGGGACGAGGCGACTGCCTGCAGACAGATCGGAATGGTGTTCGTCTCTACGTTGGAAGGAAGATGGATTTTTTTTCCTGAGAGTGGATACTTGGCTGGTTTTGGGGGGGAAAAGGTCACAAAGGTGCCTTTTTGATGGAGAGATCGCAGCCAGCAAGCTTTAGGAGGCCCACAGAACGCTTGTGCGCCGTGAGAGAGATTCATACAAGGCGAGTCCATCTGCCTCTTTGTTTTTTTGCTTTTAAACAATTCTTGAATCGCAGGAAGTTGCAGGCCCGGAAAATGTTCCTTCCCCTAAAAAACCAAGGAATTGGAGGCAAGCCCGCCAGACTCCGTTTCCTTTCCGGGATGACTCTAAACTGTGTCGCAGGGAAGGGATAACTTGTGAAGGGGGCCACATGTGGCTGCGTTTACGGTTGGCAACCCCGAAATTGGGATGCAGGAGCATCTGTGACCCTAAGCTGTGAAGATGTGAGCAGTATTATTTCCCTTTCCTTCCTCTTCCTCCTCAGGATGTTAATAAATGTTTTAAAAGGGTTGCGTTTGGAGGGGGCTTCTCTTCGTGACTCCTGATTGTCTGAACATCTAAAGAAGAGGGGCTTGTGGGGGGGGAGCTTTGGTTGGTCGGATAAAAAAAAAAATTAAAAACGCCTGTCTTCATACGTGGGTGGAAGCAAATGTGAGATTTAAGAGCATTGAATACGCACAGGAGAAAGCAGAATACAGTGGTGCCTCGCTAGACAGTTACGCCGCATGACATTTTTTTCGATAGATACTGACTTTTTGCGATCGCTATAGTGATTCGCAAAACTGATTCCTATGGGGGAATTTCGCTGGACAATGTTTGGTCCCTGCTTCGCAAACCGATTTTCGCTGGACGACAATTTTGATAGCTCCCTCCGGGCTCGCAAAACAGGTGTTTTCGGGACCTAAGCTTCGCAAGACAGTGATTTAAACAGCTGATCGGCGGTTCGCAAAGCGGCTTTCCTATGGCCGATCTTCGCTAGACAACGACAATTCTTCCCCATTGGAACAAATTAAACAGGTTTCAATGCGCTCCAATGGGGAAATGCTTTTCGCTAGACGATGATTTCACTAAACAGCGATTTCAGTGGAACAGATTATCATCGTCTAGCGAGGCACCACTGTAGTACAGTATTACAAGGCTGGGGTGTGTGGTGTGTGGCCCTGTTCAGGCTCCTGGATTCAGTGTCTGATGGGGTGGGGGAGTATGATCATTACACGGAGGAACTATTCCAGTAGAATTTTGCCCCCGCAGATGGTTAAGAATGCTGTTTGGTCCATTTCTTGTACATTTGACGCAAAGAATTTAAAATGCGAGTGGAAGATTGATCTATGCTACCAAAGGCACTGAAATTGATTCATATGCCAGATTAGAATCGGAGAAATTGCGATGCAAAATTTGCTGTCGGACTGCGTCGCTCCGAAGCTACTTTGTACATGCCTCGGGGGCCAGATTTGTTCCAAAGCATTCATCAAAGGCTGGGCTGCACCTCCAATCCAACCCGGGCTTGGACGCTAAGCTAGGAAGCATGATGGGAGTTGTAGTTCAGCCGCGTCTCCCCCCCCCCAAATTTGACAACAGAAAGGTTTGTGCAATTGGAAGAATGGGAGGAAAAAAGAAAATATTTGGTATGCACGAGAAACAGGGCGTTGTTACGAACATGTATAACAGGATGTGCTTAGAAAAAAGCCCCACGGAAGCTTTTAACGGTTCTGGAATTGTGGCCAACCTTGGCAAGAAAAAGGGGGGGGACCAGTGTTTGGGCAGAGTAGATCTCAGGAATAGATTACTGGATTTCTGAACTCAAATCAGATGCGGAAAGACATCATCTGGGGTAGATAAGGGGGGCAGAGTCTTAAGAAACCGGGAGGGGTGGATACCTTTTTCTGCAGGCTTGAATGTAGAGGGGAAAAAATGTTTTAAAAACATACAGTTGGGGAAGTAGGTGGTGGTTTTAATTTTTCACAGCTGGCCGGTCAGGAGGAGGGAAAGAGAGAAAGGGGCTGGTGGTTCCTTTTTCCCTTTTAATGCAAAACACAAAATCAACATAACGGGTCGGGAGGAGGCCAGCCAGCTGGAGAGGGAGAGGGAAGGGAGGTCTAAGCAGTGTATGTAGTGGGAAGGTTTTTTTCCGATGGATTTGAGGTGGTGACCTCCCATGGCTTCGCCCCCCCCCCAAGATTTGGGCACAACCCCCTCCCCGAGAAAAAAAGGAGGAAGAGACCGCTTTTTGCCCACCAAACAAAAGAGAAAAATTCAAAAGTTTTTCACAAAAAGGAAAGTCAATGGATGGATTGCAGTTCCCATCATCCCCCAACCTTGGGCCCTCTTGGCTGGGGCAGTTGGGGTTTGGAGTCCCGAAACAGCGGGAGGGCCCAAGCTTTCCCATAAAGCATTATTCCTTCCACTAAGCTAGAGTTTTTTTTCCCCTCTCTTCAAACCAAAGCGATATCATTTACCAAGGGTCTGTAATGGGAATTGTGTATTATTATATTTTTTAAAAAACCAAGCTAATGCATGTGCACCCCAAAGAATGCGCTGTTGGGGTTAATTAGCCGTGCAATCAGGGGAAGCCGTTTTGTGGACTACAACCCCCAGAATCCTTCGGCGCATGTCGTGCTAGTTGGAGAATTGTGGAAGTTCTCCCCCCCAAAAAGAGCAAATCTTCAAAGTGCGGAATGCAAGATTTAAAAGAGAAGAATATTTGTGTTTTATATCTATACTCTGCTTCTCCTCCAGTGATCCTTCCTGATTTTATGTTCACAACAAACCTGTGAGGTAGGCCGTGTGGAGAGACCCAGGGTCACTCCTAAACTTCATGAGTGAAGGGGGGGGGTTGAGGCCAAACCTGCTGAGTCCTAGTTTCTCCCCTGGAGAAGAAAAGGGAGCAGATTTAGCCTCCAAAATCCTCCATAGTCCAGTCGCTCTGCATCCGTGCGGTTCGGTCCTTCTACATTATCTTGCACTTTATTGCTGCTCTCCTTCAATTCAGATAATAAAGTGGATTATTCCCAACGTGCATGGTTTTTTGTGAACAGGATTCGGGGTTACAGGACGGTGTCGTCGGAAGGGGCTCCCAAAGGTCATCTACTCCAACCCCTGGAGCCCCCTAATCCCTCGGTGTCAGTGGGGAGGCCCGAGGTTGGAGCCCACCGAGATGGTGAGGGGTGTCTGGGTTGCCCCTTTTCGCTCAGACGGAACAAAACTTAAGGGAGCCGGGAGGTCTGTTGAGGTTCAGCCAGATTGGAGACAGAAGGTCTGCAGGGCCAGGAAGCGCGTCTGGATCCGGAGATCTCTGATAACAAACAGCCCTCGGTCAACAATGGCCGGAAGGGCTCCCTGCCCTGCCTTCTGGGGAGATGGATCTCCCTCACGTACAGGGAGGGAAGGCCGAGGCGTTAATCTTCGGGGTTGCTAACATGGGCGAGGAGGAGAAAATCTTCAGAGACAATACGGGACAAAGCAAAGGTTTTAGGACGTCCCGGACTAGGAAAAGCGCCAGCCAAATAAACCGGTAGCCTAAGGTGCTCTGCTTTAAAACCAGCCATTTCTCAGCATCCTGAGGACTAGAACCTTTATTTTTAAGGGGAAGTAAGTCTAGTCCCTGCCAAACAGGCTGAGATCGGCTTGCGGGAGATCCGTCTGTAATAATCCCTGCCAAACAGGCTGAGATCGGCTTGCGAGAGATCCATCTGTAATAACCTTAGAACGGCAGAGCTGGAAGGGATCCTACGGATCCCTTGAATCCAGCTCCTCTCGAGGAGGCCCCGTAGAAGAATCAAACTCCCAATCTCTGGCCTCAGCTTATTTAGGGCTGGAAGAGCCGGCCACCGAAATCTCAAGGCAGGAGAGACCTGGAATGGACGGAAGGTGGATCCAGGACTTCCTGCTAGAGAGGTCTCCGGTGGTCCCTCAGGGATGTCCGGCTCTCCAAAATCAAGACGTTGTTGCTGTCACCATCCTCAAGAAAAGTTAGGGTAATAAAAAAAAAAAAGATTCTGTGCCCCTTTTTCTTTTTCCAGGACACGGAACGGTGAGCTGCCATCGTCAGCTATAACGCCCAAAATAAAAATTCATGGATTTCCCTTGGTTTAATCGTCTGTTTTGAAAGATCTGAGATTTCTAAGCGAGAAAGGGGGAAAACAAAATATTCACGGCAAGACCCCTCTTATTCCTCACGAAGACAATCCTGAGATGGCTCACTCTAGGGACGCGCACTTCCATGCCTTAGTCACAGGTATCGATGTTGTGAAAGAGGTCACGAGACTGGAGTTTTTAGGGAGAGGGTCCGTCTCGGCACCGTAAGAGCAAAAACCGAAGCCATCCAAGTGACCCGCTAGAGCGCTAGATTAGTCGCATTCATTCCCCATGTTGAGGTGGAGTAGAATGAAAGGGACCCTCTCCAGGCCTAAAGAGTTGTACTCGTAGGAGAGAAGACCTAAGTTATTTCTTTTCGTCAAGCAGACTGCCGCAATAGAGACGGGATAAATGTTTCCTTCAGAAGCCCACTGATTTTTCCATTTCGGTCGTATAAAACGGGGTGTGATCTATCCATTTTGACATTTGAACATGACTTGACGCTGTAAATTTCTCACGATGGCTACGGCTGGCTAGGATGGCTTTTGTCGAACCTCCAGGTTCAGGAACAGGCTATCTTATGAATCCCAGGTGCTCGGGAGCAATTGCAAGGGGAGCCTGCCGCCCGCGGGACCCACTTCAGGTCTTTCCCAGATGATATTGAGCTGATCGCCAGAGACGGGCAAGGATTGAGTGGGCTCTGTAGTCCAGGGTGGGTTACCGTGGCCATCAAGACTGGCTTTGCTGACTAGGGAGGATGAGAAGCAGCTGACTCCCATTGGCTCAAGGCAGCAACACCCATCTGTGAAGGATTATGGGAGCTGTAGTCCAAATACTTTGCGACAGCCACCATTACCCACTGCAGAAGAGACCTTGGGTGCAATCAAACCAAAACCTTCCTTAGCTCGTTGCTGGCACACCTCCATCTGTATTTCTCAGCCTCGGTTCAAACCGTCAGCCTTCTGTTCCCATGTGGCTTCTTTCCTGCCCTCCACATGCCATGAGGACTAGAAACTTTGCTTTCCCCCCTCCTTCCACCTACCACCACCTTTCTAGGAAGCAAAGCAAACTGGCAAAAAAAGTTTTCATTTCCAAAATACCACCGCGGACATAAACACTCCCCTTTATTTCCCATTAGGAAGATTTCTCCGGGAGAATACAATCAACACAATTTGCACCCAAGATCTAACTTAAAGAGGTGCCGGATGGGGTGGAGCAGGGGCGGCAGCATTTTAAAAATTCAAGAGACGGTACCCATCTGATTTCGAAGAGTTTTTACTATGAATGAGACACAGAAGCGGGACAAAGAATAAATTCTGGATAAATATTTCTCGACATTCCACCGGCGTCACCTTTGGGAGAAGCAAACGGGTATCCCCGCCTCATACAGGAGGCTGTGGGTTGTTCTGAGCATAAATGCTGGTCCCAGGGGAAGAGAGAGAGAATCAGTTAATGGTGGTTTGCAGTGTCATTGGCAGTAAATCTCGAACAACCAGGTCCCCAAAGAGAGTACAAAAAAACCACAGTTTTTTCCCTATGCAAACAAGCCATTCTAGTAGGTTTCTACTGACAAAGTCCAGGTCTTTTGCAAATTTAACGGGTCTTAGTTTCACTTTGCAAGAGAAGTAATTTGCAACAAGGTAATGTTCAATGGGGGAAAAAATCTATCCAGTTTTCAGAAACTTGGCTGCTGAGTCTGGAGAGGACCAGAAAAAAAAAATCACTTCTGCAAATTAAAAAAGAAATAAATCCCCATAGGTTTCCCCATAAGTTCCACGGCTCTGCTAAGCCACTGAAGGTTGCAGAGAAAACAACGAGGGTGCAGAGTGAATAATTGCAATAAAACCATGAACCCCAATGAGGTGGAACTTTAAAAGCAAACTGTGCCAAAGCACTAATCATAGTCAGAATTTCTGTTGTCCCGGAACAAAGACATTCTTTTGTCAAAAATGGAGGAAAATAATTGTCTGGTCGCTCATCAGGACTAGTAACCTGATTCTTGTGTTTGGCATGAGAGAGGGCTGCAGGTTTTACAACCGCCCAGAAGATCCAGGATGGATGGGAAGCCCCCCCACTCCGACACCCCTGCTCCATGACCATGCGGTCATGAGATAAGAGGGGCAAATGAAACCCAAGATCGAAAGAAAAGGGAAGAGGCTGCCAGCTAGAGCCCAGCGTCCTTGTTCTGAGACGGTCGTTCCAGGACGGAGGACCGCGAATCTTGCGTCTCAGAGCGCCAGCAAATTGGGGGAATTGAGGGAATCAGAGGAGTGGTCGCCGCTGCTGCTGCTACGTCGGTGAGCGGAGGAACAGGGTTCTGGGGGAAAACCCGAACCCGAAGGGCCCTCGGCCTCTCCCGGGGTGGGGTAAGTGAAGACCAAACTGGGCGTGAAGGGGGTGAGAGACGGCGTCGGCATTAAGGTGGGAGTGTGCAGAGCCTCCGGCTCCAGCACGCTGCTGGGGGGCAGAGTGATGCTGGGGGGCACCGGGGCAGCCCGGCGGGCCACGCTGGGTCCCGGTGGGGATCCCTCCTCGGTCGGAGGCTCGGTGGGGGCAGCCTGCCTGCCAGGGCGGCCGCTTTCCTCTCCCGCCCCCGAAGGAGGAGGAGACGGCGGCTCCTTGCGGACCTTGCAGGCCGGCCGGTGGGCTTCCAGAACCAGCTCCAGGCGTTCCTTTTGCTTCTGCAGCTCCTCGATTTCTTTTCGCAGCCCCGACTGCTCGGCCTCCAGCTGGTCGGTTTCCTGATGGGAAAGGGCAATAAAATAAAATAAAATACAGTGGTGCGTTGCTAGACGATGATAATCCATTCCACTGAAATCGCTGTTTAGCGAAATCATCGTCTAGCGAAAAGCATTTCCCCGTTGGAATGCATTGAAACCTGTTTCATGCGTTCCAATGGGGAAAAATCGTCGTTGTCTAGCAAAGATCGGCCATAGGAAAGCCGCTTTGCGAACCGCCGATCAGCTGTTTAAATCCCTGTCTTGCGAAGCTTAGGTCCCAAAAACACCTGTTTTGCGAGCGTGGAGGGAGCTGTAAAAATCGTCGTGTAGCGAAAATCGGTTTGCGAAGCGGGGACCAAACATTGTCCAGCGAAATTCCCCCATAGGAATCGCTGTTTTGCGAATCGCTATAGCGATCGCAAAAAGTCGATGTCTAGCGAAAAAAATGTCATGCGGGGCAACTGTTTAGCATCGCTATAGCGATCGCAAAAAGTCGATGTCCAGCGAAAAACTCATGCGGGGTAACTATATAGCGAGGCGCCACTGTAAAGAGAGAAGCAGGGTTAAAAGAGAAAAGGGAGAGAGGAGGGGAGCAGAAAGCCGAGATCCGAAGCGGCTAGGGCCACCCTACATCCTTCTGCTGCCTGAAGGAGGAATTTTTAAAAAGACAATAATGCGCCTTCTCGGAGAGCATCTCTCCACTACGCTTCCCAACATCGGCCCGTTGAGGCGATGGCCTCCACCCGCCCAATACCTAGGCCGGCTCTTTTCCTGCTAAAATGGGGCTTCCCGGGTGCCGGCACAGAGATCTGTCCTCCAACAGAGGGTAACCACTGGAGATATAGCTCTGTGGTTTAAGTCTCTGCTGCCAGAGGTTGGGAGTTCGAATTCCCCCACTGGGCCTCCTTGCCAGGGGCTGGACTCCGTGATCCAGAGGGTCCCTTCCAGCTCTGCCGTTCTAAGATGATTATGTATATTTTCCCCCTCAATCTCAAACTGTTCCTTCTCACTACTATTTAAAAATAATAATAATCACGGAACGGATGGATGCCTTACAGAAATGTTCTGGTGCACCTCTGGGTGAACTCCGCCAATGAATTTTCTGGCATTGTAAACACTTAATTAACTGCAGTGCAGAACATTTTATGCCATATATATATATATATTTTTCCTCTCAGGTGCTAGCAGCTTAATAAAATATGTAGCAACTCGCCACTTAGTGCAACTGCAAGAGGTGTGTGTGTGTTTGGTTTTTTTTCAATCCAAGAGGACAAGAGTTAAAACCAGACCTTGGAAATAACGCCCAGCATGAATGTGTTAATGGAACCGTTACGCCCCGTGTGGAACAAGAAAACAAAGCAGCCCAAAGCATCTGTTCCTCTAAAAATAACATTTTTGAGAGCAGCGTCTTACCATTCCGTAGCCCCATGCCGTGACCAAAAATAAATAAATCCAAGAATAAAAATGGGACACCATGATCAAACAGGCACGCGGCTGATGAAGAAGTAAGTGGGCCGCCGTCCGCCACAGCTTTTGATAAATAAAACTTTTAAAGCTGCGTAATTCTCCGTGGATTTTGCTGGGGAAGAGTATATATAGCTCAGGAAAGGTCTGCCAAATATATACAGTGGTGCCTCGCTAGACAGTCACCCTGCACGACAGTTTTTTTTTTGCTAGACATTGGCTTTTTGCGATCAATATAGCAATTCGCAAAACAGTGATTCCTATGGGGGAATTTCGCTGGACAATGTTTGGTCCCTGCTTTGCAAACCGATTTTCGCTAGGCGACGATTTTGACAGCTCCCTACATGCTTACAAAACGGGTGTTTTCGGGACCTAAGCTTCACAAGACAGCAATTTAAACAGCTGATTAGCGGTTCGCAAAGCGGCTTTCCTATGGCCGATCTTCACTAGACAATGACAATTCTTCCCCATTGGAACACATTAAACAGGTTTCGATGCATTCCAATGGGGAAATGCTTTTTGCTAAACGATGATTTCGCTAAGCAGCGATTTCGGTGGAACGGATTATCATCATCCAAATGTATAAATTATATATAAAATTCATTTTATGAAAGGCCCAATCCTGGCGCTCATTTAAGCTTATGGGCATCTCTAGCAAAGGCTAGTCCTGTTCTATCAGTGGGTGGCTTTAGGTCCTCAGATGGTGCTGGACTACAATCCCCATCATTCCCAGCCAATGGCAAAGGATGATAAATAATAACCTTTGAACTGCAGAGCTGGAAACGGACCCTTATGGACCGCTGAGTCATGGAAGCCTACCGGGGGAATTGAACTCGCAACCTCTCGCTCTGCAGCCAGAGACCTCGGCCCCTGAGCTGTCTAGCCGTTCTCCGGGAATGCCAATCCAACGATAAACGCCAGGTCATCCCTCGCCCGGCCCGCTCAGATCAGATTCCGCTTCCCTCTAAACCCATCATCCACAACAGTCCCTCCAGGACACGCGCACTCACCGCTTGCAAGGTGTCTGTGAGTTCTTTCCGCCGATTCCGGCATTTAGCCGCGGCCAGTTTATTCCTCTCCCGCCGCAGACGGCGCCGCTCCTCTTCTTCGGCCGTCAGCTGCGGACGGAGAGACAAGATGGTAAAAAATGGGCAGTAAAATTATTCTCAGCTAATATGAATTAGTTGCATTTATATCCTGATTTCCACCCTTGCCAATGAACGCAAACAAGGAAAGGCATCTGAGCATGTGCAGAGTGCTTCAAAGCCACCACTAAGGGTCCTCCAGCTCCCCCAATGAGAAACCTGTAGGTAGGAAATTAGTGTCCTAGCATCCTTTTGTTCATGTTCCGCAGATAGACTGCTTCCAAATCTGGAGGTTCCATTCCTAATTGTTTGGACCGATGAGATAGTAAGAAGACAACTCTAGTTTTCCGTCACCACAGCTCAGGAAAACAGTACAATAAACCTTCCAAGTCTTCTTCTCCAGCCACTCGGAACGCTGGGATCCCTTCTTCCTAACATGGCCAGGATCATGGGACTTGTAGTCCAAAAAAGCTTTCTCAGGCTCTTATTGGTTCCTGTCCTGGGATGGGAGATTCTTTTTTTAAGAACCTAGGCAGACTCATTTTGGAGACAGCGTGTCAGACTAAATGTGCTTTCAGTCTTCTGCAGAAAACCTTAATATTATGGCAATAATTTCCTCCAGATGGTCTTGAACCCCTCTACCTATTTTGGAAACCTAACACAAGCCTGTGATTGTGGCCGTTTTGAGAGCGAAGTCCCAGTTCTCCAGAACGGGAGGCTGTCCGTGTTCCTGGAGGACACCAGAGGGCGCAAGTGCCACAGATATCCAGTGGCATAATGTTCCACACGCCGGCAGGATTTGGATACGGCATTTCTAGAAACCGGCCATGGCAGTTCTAAAAGCGGCCGCCTTCTCTTCTAGTTTAATCAGCACCGATGAATCGGTGATTATCCGATCATTGATTAATCCGAAATAAAAGCAGTCCCCATTTATATTACAATGATTCTATCATTTGGTCTCTTGGGAGAAGCGTTGCAGCTTCCAGACCGGTGAGGGGCAGAAGAAATATCCATCATGTGGGTGCCTGTGCCACCCTGGATCTAGGCCACAGGTTCCTGGTGCACCTTAAATCAGATTTATTATAATACAAGTGGTGCCTTGCTTAACGATTTTAATTGGTTCCAAAAAAATCATCGCTATGGGAAAACATCACTAAGCGAAACGTGGTTTCCCATACAAATGCACTGAAAACCGGATAATCTGTTCCAATGGGAACGGATTGCCGTCCTTAAGTGAAAATCGCCATAGGAAACATCACTAAGCGAAACATGGTTCCCCAATTGAAATGCCTTGAAACCTATTCAATGCATCTCAATGGGGGGAAAATTACAACAAATTGAAAAAGAGTCAGAACAAAGTCAAATTAGTTTAACAAAGGGTTTATTAAGTGCAGTTATGATTTCAAGCATTCTAAACATTTTAAACATTTTTAAATGTATAAAAAACAGCCAACATGAGGCTGTCAAAACCATCGTTAAGCGAAACAGGGGGACCCAAACTGTCATCGCTATGCGAAGCATGGTCCCAAACATCGCTATGCGAAAATCGCCCATAGGGAACATTGTTAAACGGAGCGCAAGATTGCTCCGAAAAAGTCATCGCTAAGCGAATTCGTCGTTAAATGAGGCGCTCGTTAAGTGAGGCACCACTGTAATCAGATTTATTATTTTGGCCTTTCTGGGCTATAAATCATGTCATTTTTTTCTAGTTACATGCCATCAAGGTGCCTGCAACCCACAATGACTCCATGATTTCCAAAATTTCCTGTCCTTAGCAGCCTTTCTGAGCTCTTGCAAACTCAAGCCTGGGGTTTGGTTAAGGAGTCCGTCCATCCCATGTTTGGCCATCCTCGTTTCCTGCTGCCTTTAATCTTCCTCAGCGTTGCTGCCTTTCCAGAGAATCTTACATGCCCAGAGTAAGACAACCTTGGTTTCATCCATTTTTGCTTCGTAGAGAAATGTGGCAATCGAGTCTCGTTCCCACCAGTTGCATCGGACGCGTGAAATCGGCATTTCAGGTCCCTACATAGCGCTCAGCGTCATAAATGTGCGCTATGCCGTTTCGTCCCGGCATGGCGTTGGCTGTCAAAGGCGGAAGAAGAGCAGAGCAGAAAGTCTGGAAGGATCTACCCAAAGGGTACGTTTTCAAGCTCGGCCTCATTGCCAGACTGTGTCTCTGCCGTCTAAAAACCCGGAGGATGATGAAGTGCTCCAAGTAACCATGTGGAATAGGTGATAAACGTGAAGATCAACTGGTTTTAATTTGGCTTATACTTTCTTGGACTGCTGATTTTTTGCACCCGTTGAAATGTCCGTGAAAGCTTTGGCCAAATAAAACATCTCATTCTTTTAAAGTCCTTTCTCAGGGCATTTAACATCTCCCTGACCCTGCCGTTCACAACCACAACACACAACGATGGCTACTGTGCACAATCCCAGAAATTAGTGCGCCCGTTCATTCCTTTGACGAAGTCTGCTGTAATCCACCAAAAACCCAGACTAAAAAAAATATATTAGGAAGTGCAGAAATGGATCGCTGAACCAAGAGGCTAAAGGGGCAAGAAGAATCATCTTTTTTATTTAAGCTGGAATTTATGTTATAATTGGTGGAAAGTTAAAAAAAAAAAGTCCCGCAGTAAAGGAACAGAAAATGAATAAAAAGCGGGATGTCGTGAATAGGATCTCATCAGAAGAATTATTCCAATATACAAGATTGCTTCTATGTTGAACTTTAGGCTTTTTTCCCCTTATTTTTTGCATTTAGATTATCTTTGCTTATTGTTCGACAATTAGAGATTCTTACATTTTATGCTTACTGTTTAAATGGGCATTGTGCTAGATATCTATGTTTTTTAACTCTTCTGTTGGAATGAATAAATAAATAAATAGATAAATTAATAAATTTAAAAAAAACCAGACTGTAAGAAAGATTTTAAGGCGGCCACGGGTCTCTTCTGTGTTTTTAAATCATTCATATTTTCGAAGACCCCTTCACGGTCCTTGATGGCCCATCATCATCCATCCCCACCACTCCTGGCCATGACACTCACGTGCTCCGAATGACGCCTCCGCGGCGTTAAGGCCAGGCCAGCGGTACGGATGACCCGCGGCCGCATTCCGGCGCTGTAGTGCGGACA